TTGGCTGGCCTGAGACACTGGACCGGCTGGACTGCAGTCTGAACCCACCAGGTCCGTGGCTGGAGCTCATGAGCCCGTACTATCTTGAATCAGACGAAGGTAGAAAGCTGTCTCGCCCTCATCCGAACACCCAAGGCAGGGATGGTGCTTGTCCCGTAACCCTGCCAGAAAAAGCATTCCGTGCTTTGGGCAAAAGTGCTTTCAAGGGCACTGTTTTTGCGATTCTTCTAAGCTTTGGGCCTCAGGCGTGTTGCGGGTTTGCCGTTCGTTCAATGTGCTCTCGGAAACGTACCTTCCAGGGTGTTCCTCACCCTGCTGACTCTGGGAGCAGCAAAAGCAGCAGAAGGCTGTTGCCATCTGAGCATCTGATCTGTTGAACTCCTGCAAGCCCTAGGTTACTGAAATGTCAGTTTCACCGACAGGCACAACCCCACAAACCTTGATGTCACCAGTACAGCGTGAAAGTCTGTCTTGGAAAGCTTGGGCACCGCACGTTCGCAGTCCAAGCTGCAACAGCTGGTGAGGGCCTCCGGCTAGATGGACAGCGACCAGCGACACGCTTAGGACCGATAAGACTGGGGGGTGGGTTGTGGCGAAGACCAAGAGTGCTGACTATGCATCTGCAGAGTGTCGAGACTCCAGAAAAACGCAGGGGTTGTCGTTTCATAGTTTTCACAGCACAGATGCCCCTGGAGGCATGCACACACACACACACACAACTGCACGCAGCAAAACAAAGTAATCACTAGAACAATTCCTCGGACCTTAGCTTTTGGGCATATTGGATCAGATAGGGGCCTCAAGATGTGGATGCCATCGTCAAAGCTGGTGCAGCTCATTAAAACAGCCGCAGGAGTAACAGGGAAGCCGGGGGGTGTCGTGCAACCAGCTGAAACAACCTGAAATTAAAGTCTCATGATCCATCCAGGCCGCTGCCCAAAAATGTTTGCCGTTGGCGGTGTGCCAAACCTCGATTGGCAATACTACAAACTACAGCGATTGCGACAACTCGAAGCTGTGTGGCGGACAGGCTTCAGGTTGCAACAGACGTTGCAGTCAGGTCTACGAAGACGTTCAGGGCACGAGGGCTTGGTCTGGAGACGAGAAGTTCGCAAGTCTTTTCCACTGTTGATCGCTTGGCGACGAAGGGGCCCGTCTCTGTTCGGCCCCATGTTGATGGCAAAAACCAAACTTCTTCCTCACATTAGTCTACGAGATCTACGAGTAGGTCCCACAACGCCATCTGAGTCCCAGGGCAGGGGCCAAGAAAGAAAATCATGACGCCCCCAAGCTCGAACCCAGACCTTCAACTTGTCGGTCTCAGCCGAGCAGCGGGGCAGTTGGGAAGGCAGCGTGGTGGTTATAGCCGCCGGCGGGCCCAGGAGATTGGCCTTGGAAAGCTTGTTGATCCAAGGGATGTATGCCATCAGTAGGGCTCTGGGAATCTTGGCTTCGACATTTTCAGAAATACAATTTTTGCCAACACTGCCTCGGAGGTCTCCGGCAGTATCAGACAGCTCCAACAGGCTACCGCTTACCGCTAAGTTTTTACCGCTTAGTTTCAGCTTGAGATTTACCGAGAAGCTGTGCAAGGCGTGCAAAGGGCGAGGATCCACTGGAAACGGCTGCAATGGCTTCTGCATGCGCCGTGGGTCCTGCTGCAGGAAGGTTGTCTGAGCTTTCTCTGTCAGCTGTGTAGCTGCAATGATGCGGACATGTCAAGTGCAAAGAGCACGGCATGCACCAAAGGTGCGCAAAGTTCATCTATCGTAAGACCGCTGACAGATAACATTAACTGGTTCAGTCGAACGCCGAGCTCGCTCAAAAACAAGCTACTTCTTCGTACCTCATCAACCTTCAAATCAGCTGACAACTACAATTGAGTCCTCGTGTGTGCTCCTCACCTGACCGACGACGAGCATATGCACCGGTGTACAGTTCTGCACCGAAGCATCGTAGTCTGAACTCAACCCAGCCCTTCTAAGTTTCACGGAGCAGCACCGACAGAAGATGATTACGGGAAGAAATCAAGAGTTCAATCAGTGTGCACGGAAGCGCAACTGGGGCTACTGAACTTTAGAACTTTGGCAAGTATGTACATGTAGTGGCAAATGGCCTTGGAGCCATGTGGTGCCGTTGCACCCACCTTGGAACCTCGGTAATTGCAACGACACAACAGCCGACACGAACCTTACATAAAGGCGCATTGCTTCTGTTGCTGCAGCTGTTGCGTGGTGCTTGCGGTGCTTTTGCTGCTGGTGTTGTCACTACTTCTGTAATTGTTGCAGTCGCCACTGCCGTGTCACTGTGGATGTTGCGGCGTTGGGTTCTGAGTGTTGTTACTGCAGTTGCTGGGCGTTGTTGTTGTTGTTGCCGCAGCTGCTGTTGCTGGTGCTCAAAACCTAATGACGTCCATGGTCTAATCCGTTCTGACACAGAAGCATCCATTCCCAAAACCGCATGACGTCCATGGTCTCATCCGTTCTGAGAACAGAGCATCCATGCCCAAGACAGAATGACGGCCATGGTCTACTCCGCTCTGAGAACAGAGCATCCATGCCCAAAACCTAATGGCGTCCATGGTCTCATCTGTTCTGAGATCAAAGCATCCATGCCCAAAACCTACTGACGTCCGTGGTCTACTCCGTTCTGAGAACGTAGCATCCATGCCCAAAACCTAATGACCTCAATGGTCTCATCCGTTCTGAGACAAGAGCATCCATGCCCAAAACCTAATGACGTCCATCGTCTACGTACTCAACAGAGCATCCATGGATCTACTCCGCCCATGACCGACATGCTGCTGTTCATGTTTGTGCTGTAGGACCGTAGGAAGTGCTTTTTGTCCCACGCAGGCCACACGAAACAACACCGCACTAAGCATACACGCATGTTTCCAAAATGTGAGTCCAGCGTTATCCCACACAAGAACGCAAATTTTGTCTTGCGGCAAGGTTTCCCGCGTAAAACCGAAGCAAAAGCTATGTATGCAAAGCAACTTCGCCAACTCTGCGTACACAAAGTGGGTTTTGTCCCACACAGGCCATGTAAAATGCATAATTCCCTGGTCGTCACGAAAATCAACATGCCTAAAGCCTCGGTAAAAACGAGTCAAAGCGCATGTTGCCGAACCTGACATGTCGTTTGTCCCACGCAGACCATGTAAAACGTACGTTGCTGTGGCTCGCCCCTGCATGCGTTTACACAGGGATGGGGCATTGTTGTTGTTGTTGTTGTTGTTTGCTTGCTTGCTTGCTTGCTTGCTTGCTTGCTTGCTTGCTTGGTTGGTTGGTTGGTTGGTTGGTTGGTGTCGTTGTTGTTGAGCCGAGTGGCGCCTGCTGAGGACGACTTTATTGTTGTTGCTGTTGCTCATGTTGTTGTTGTTGTCGTTGTCGTTGTCGTTGTCGTGGTTGTTGTGGTTGTTGTTGTTGGTGGTGGTGGTGGTGTCGTTGTTGTGGTGGTTGTGGTGGCTGTGGTGGTTGATTATGGTTGTTGTGGTTGTTGTTGTTGTTGCTGTTTCCTCTTGTAGTTGTTGGTGGGGGGTGGGTGTGGACGGTGCTGGTGCTGGTCGTCGTCGTCGTCGCGATCGTGGTTGTTGTGGTGGTTGTTGCTGGTGCTGCTGCTGCTCCGACTCCTCCATTGGTCTGGTTGTTGCCATTGGTGCGTTTGTATTGCCCAGTCCCTTGCAGCTGTTGTCGTTTGAGCTGTGGGTGATGTTGCTGGACCCTCTTGTAAAAGCGTCGTCCGTTTGGCTCCGAGAACGAACTGGCTGACTCCAATTTCGTTCGAGCAGAGACCCATTTGACAGTAAAAAATTGTAACTCTGCAGCGTCTGGGCTGCGTCCAGGCGGCCACGTCCGTGGATCGGCTTCATGGGTGCGGGCTTGAAGTGCGCTCGAAAACCTGTTGGCTTCAAGACTCTGCAGCCAGACTTCAGCTCCTAAACCGTGAACCCCATTTCCAGGGGAGGTGGCTTGGGCCTTCGGGCCGGGCTTGGCGTCCGAAGCTGGGATTCAGGCGGCAATGGCAGGAGAACGCGGATCATGCAGTATGTGCAGGCTTCGGAATACTGTGCTACCGTGGTTCACAGATTCGGATGAATGGTCTTGTCTTGTCGGATCGATCTCCGATGCATTCTCGTAGATTCAAGCTTCACGTCTCGTTTCAGAGTTTACGCTTGGCAGCTGCTCCAAAACCTGCATATCACCGAGCAGAGCATAAGCTTGAAGACAGGGGGACAACATGAACCTCATGCCAGCGAGAGGCCATCCGGACATCGTGGAAGAAGCTTCGGCATGGGGAAAGGCCTGCGCAACTTGCAGCGCTCGGGTTGACGCTGGGTTCCAAAGGTCGACAAGAGTCTCAGAACACTCCAGGCCTCCACAAATCTACGGACCCTGAATCCCTCAAATCGAGGTCCGCCCTGCCTTGTTTTGTCCGGTTCTGCCTTGGACTCCTGTCAAATAGGTTGGAACTGTTGGAAGACCCGGCTTGCGCTGCAACTGCTTACCGTGCTCCACAGCGTGCTCCACAAAGCAGCACGGTATGTGTCAGCTCTGGCGAAGTTCGTACTGTGCTCACTTCCACATACGAATTCACATCTCCATGAAAGAGCCGTGCCTTGAGACATTGGCTAGTAATTAAGGGCCGCTCTGCAGCGTGACTCTGCAATCCTCCCTACTCGTAGAACACGGGGTCTTACTCCTTCTTCCTTCTTTCTGCATTTTCTATCAGTTGAACTCGCGTGCTCTCCGTGTGTGGGACTGTTCCATTTATTCGTCACCATCGCATACAGTACAGGTCTTCACATTGCTGATTGTTTTGTCTGTGTCCGACTTGTCGAACGCATTGCCCTGCACCATGCAAGGGCGCAAGAGCAAGCAGGCGTCGACTTCACACCTCCCCCCCCCCCATGTATCCGAGACTTGCAGTTCATGCAAGCTGCAGGCACTCTCAACATCCTACGGCAAGATACGGCAAGTGCTGAGATGTGCTGCGACTTATACCCAGAAAGATCCGATACAATCCTCTATCACCAGGCCCTCACGGGCCACTTCGGCGAAGTCTGCCAGTGGCCCCAGGAAGAGATCCCCGAAGTCCTGGAGATTGAGAGGCCTTAGCGCACGACTTCTGATAGGAGCCGAATTTGCGCACCAAGACGGGAATCACACACTGGATACAACCGAACCGCGTATTCGCGCGCATTCCTGCACCAACACCAGCCTTAAAGCTCAGCACCCTAAACCCAATAACACTAAACCGTAAAACCCTAAGCCTGTAAACGCCGTAAACCGCAACACCGAAAACCGCCAAAGGCTAACCGGTTGCCTGAACCCCCAAACCCCTAGAACCCTGACCCAAACCCTAAAACCTGCAAACCCAAAGACTGAGCTCTCCTTGCCAGTCAAAACCCCAGAGTGTCAATCCTAATCCCCAATTAGACTTCGATACCGGCTACTTCTTCTCCTCGAGTAGCAGTATCAGCATCAGCATTGGCGCTCTCAATAGCGGCAGGACTAGCAGCATCAGCATCGTCACCATCATCGTCAACAACGTCATCATCATCGTCCTCCGCCTCCGCCTCCGCCTCCGCCTCCGCCTCCTCCTCCTCCTCCTTGTCATCATCATCATCATCATTGTATATTTCAGCTCGTCGAAAACTCATCCCCTTCCCATCCTCACCTTAAACGCCCGTGGCAGGGAGTCTGCATTGGGGCCTGGCCCAAGCCAGCGGCAGGTCAGAGGCTGAGGCGGCGGCTTCCCATCCGCCGTAAACCGCTCCGGAGCTGCCCGGTAGAGTCCCAAAAGATCCTGAAGCTCCAGGGTTTTTAAGAACAGCTTAAACTAAGTTTAAGGCTTCTAAGGCTTACGAGCAGCTTGCTGCAAAGCTGTTGAATCTAATACAGCAGGCTGCTGCTGCAGCTAATGGCAATGTCACACAGCTGTTGAAAGTTGGGCCATGGACATGCAGCACTTCAGTGATTATCAGGGACATGCTTCGCCAGCCAATTGATTGTCAGTTTCTTTCGATGACTGACGTCCGCTTTGCGTAAACCGCAATTGACTCGGATGGAGAAGGGTTGAGCTCTCCAACTGCTGGGTGCAGTCTGGAACGGCCGAGCCTAAACCTACCCATGCAAAAGAAGCCGCCTTAACCTCCAGCATGTGTTCGACTGCCAAGGAACGACCCGAGTTCCGTCTTCCAAGCCCGAGCCAGAAAACCCAATAAAAGATCTGGCCAAGAGTCTACCCCCGAGTCGAGCACAAAATTCAGATGTGCCTCCGGTTCGGGGTGGAGCGGCTTAGCTGAGGGCCTAGGGGGAAGGGGTACGGTCTTGGCCTCTGCCCACAAACCATGGAAGCAAAAAGCCTAAGAAAGCCCAATTGCCCATTCTCAATTCTGCTCTTCCATCTCTTCCGGTTGCCGTACCTTGCCCCCTCCCGTCTAGTCGAGCCTCCAAGTCGGGCTCGGCATCTTCAGCCCCTGTCACTGCTGGTCACCCGCAGCTGACAACTCTCACGTCACGCATGACATTGGGGCAGTGTTCCCGACTTCTGCCTGGGGCCATCCAAACCGCCAGGTCTCCCAGAACTTTGCTGTTGTTGGCCTGGGAGAGGCATCTCAAAAAAAGTCTCTTGAAGTCTGCTGCGGAGTCAAGGAGGGGCCAGGAGGGGTTGAAGACTTGATTAATAAGGAACAATTGATGATCAAAGTCAAGCTATCTACTGGACAACTGATAGTGCCCAGAATCCATGCTGATTCCTGATCCGAGGAAAGCCACCGAAGTCTACGCATTCCAGGAGAGGACAAGAATTAAAAAGGTTGTTGACAAGCACAAACTGCTGTCGCCTTGTCATGTCGTATGCAAGATGGGAGCCCGCCTGGCTCGTAGGAGCCTCGGGGCCTAGCCCCGCCTGATCGCGTAGGAACTGGACGGCCTGGTTGAGAGGTTCAGGGTTGGGTAAGCTTTCCCCTCTGCAGGGTAATCAATAATCAGATCTTGATTATGCCTGAGCATACTTCGGCCCAGGGTTCGAACCCTTGGTTCACTTGCAAATCTTGCGAGTTGATGCCCTAGAAGGCAGCCCTGCATCCCATCCTCGCGCAGCGTATTCTTCGCCGCCCGGGAGAACGACCACTGATCGGCACAGGACACATCTTGGCCTCAAAGCCAAATGGTCACTGCATCCCTACCAATCCTATAGGGATCACGAACAGGACAACAGGATAGAAAGCTTGGGAAGCTAGACGGAGTCGCATGGTTAGCACTCGCATTCGCTTCGTCTGGTTGCCAAAATCACAAAACAAGAGACTTTGAGTTGACTTTGAGTCGATGCCTTTGAGGTCACGCCAAGGTCGCACAGGACGTCTGATGCGATCTCGAAAACGCTTCAGAATTCCGAAGTCTAGATTCAGGGTATGGATGCTCTCAAGCGGTGTCAACATGCTAGGGTGCTCTGGTTCCTGTCTAGTGGCACCGGTTCTGGAGCCAATGCCCAAAATCCAGAACACTCCGGCCCGAAAGGTAGCATAGGAAACGAAAGCTGGGGATCCCGGCAGAAGCCCGCTAGGCTCAAGGAAGCTGTGTGGAGCCCTCGGTACTGGATGCTGTCTTACGAAGCGTTAGTTTAAAGGGCCCCCCAAAGCATAATTTATATGCGCCGCCATGGCACCAGCTTCCTTCGCAGTATCCCCCACAGTGAATGCTCGATTGTCACTATGATCTGCTATCTATATTGCCATCATGACTTCTCCGACGATTACCAATTCCAAAGGTTGCCATCATGACGTCTTCATGCCGATTGCCACCTAGCCTTCTGGCTGCTGGAATGCCATTGGAATTTCGCTTGACAATGGACATCATGCCGACTGATTGCGAGCATCTGCACCAGACCGTCAAATTCAGGTCGATAAATTCAGTTCCACCGCAACGATCTGACCAACCGTGGAGGATGAGCTCTCCCTAGTTTCTCCTACATGACCTTATATCCTCGATTTGGACTCAAGTTTCCCACAGTAATGCTGGAGGTCCTACGTTGGTTTATATCTATATGTCATCCTACGCTTTATCGCTGCCCCGACGCCGGAGATGGGTGACTCCCTATGTTGAGCCGACCTTACCACGCTTCCTATGCTTACGTGTCTAAACCCCGGAGACGGTGGCTCCCACTACCCTCCAGCCGGAAACTTCTGGAACACCCCCACCGACTGTCAGGACTGCAGGTGCGCCCGCCAGCACTTTTCAGAGAGGCGCATTTCTGGATTACTAGCCATATGATAATATGATTTGTTCTATGCTTCCCCACGTTGGATGACGATATCTCCACCTTATCATGCAACGCTTTGAATTATGCCACAATGCTGTCTAGGGGAGCCGACATCGGGGGACCACGGCCTTCCCATGCTCCATGCCAGTACCGATTGACTTATCAAGTGCTCCATCTTTTATCGGCGAGTGGTCACGAATGCCCCTTGTGCGTCGGGTGAGATTCATCAGCGACTATAGAGGCCTCCTTTCATACGAAGCTTTTCCCCACGGTGGCCGGAAATTTTACCCTAGTCCTGCCATCGTCTCACCCGAAAAGGGTAGCGAAGAGCCTTGTATAGACATGCCCATCGTGTATGTAGTGTCCCTGGACATTTTTCCCATGCCGTATGCTTCCGCGCCTGTTTATGTTCTCCCCGCACGCTAGCCCCATCGAAAGGGCTGCTGACGAGTGGTCTCACTCGTGGACTCGCTCTGCGCGACTGAGAGAGGTACACATCTGATACATATGTATTATGTAACCGTCTCTATGCCTGTCTGTGTGTGCATGCGTGTGTATCGTGCATGGAAGCACTCTTGTCACACAATGCATTCAGTTGCTGTTTTTTGGTCAGTCTTGTCAAAAACTTGCCGACGAAGGGTAGGATTATGCTAAAGAGGTGCTTGCCAGTGGAAGAAACGGCTCCATCTCCTTGGTTGGCCCGCAACCCTACTGCTGACAGACGTGGCGCGCAGCATATTGGTCTTCAATTGTATTGGGCGGATTAGTGGCTGTCACGAGTGCTGCCTACAGACAAGAACAACCAAATCGAAGATCAAAACCATGGCAGCTATAGCAAAACAAGTCTCTGGAACGCTGCTCAAGCACTCCAGCGCGGGGGGGCTGCCATAGCTGTCGCCGGTCAACGCTGTCAGCGAATCCCCGCAGGCACCCACGACCTGCGAGCTCAACCTAGCTCAGGTTTGCCACCCTTCCTACCCCTGCCAGCTCTAGCCTCAAAGTCCTCAGCCTGCACCTAGTCAAATTTAGTGGGGCTCGGCAGTAGAGGTGGTCAGGGACAGCCCTTCTCCTCACTGTGGAAAGCCTCAAACTCAGGACATAGCTGACATAACTGCCGAACCTCCATCCACCGTTCTCCAAGAGCGAGGGTAACGGCACGGGCCACAACGGTCTGTGGAGTGTCGATCTCCGGCGTTGCCCCAAAGACGAAGCCGAAGTCCACGCGGAAAAGAGATCCGTCCTCCCTGCAGGCCAAACTTGGACATCCTAAGTGAATTCAACATCATGAATCTAAGGTGCCTTTCGCCGCCCGCGCCTGAGCATGATGTTGTCGTCGTGACCGTCCCTCACACCAAGCGCATAGCAAGCAGTCAGGTATGCCACCGTGGTCGCAGCCAAGGTGTCAAGCTTGCTAGCATCGCCTGCAAGGGCCCGGTATACCCGCTGGTGGGTCTCCGGATGGCAGAGTCGTTTGAGTTCCCTCAATGTCCGGCATCCGTCGACTGCCTCAATCAGCCCGCCAGAAGATCCGATGGGGTAGATCTCGTAAGTGACAGTCTGCACCGATCTGCCACAAACACTGACCTGGTGCTCTTTCCAGCGTCGGTTCATCTCCATCAGAGCAGACATCATGGCATGCTCCTGTCTGACATCTGCGAACTTCACGATGTAACGATGACCGCCTGGATCCATCCGGAGCAGCAGAGCTCCGGAGGCAGTTCCTTGGCGCGCTTGAAACTTCTTTCCGTTAAATTTTGCATCATGTTCGCGTCTCCCACTCGTGGCCTTGCCTCTGGCCTCCGGCTGCCTGCAAAGCTTCACTCCGACTCTTACCAATCTGCTTTTCTTGGGTAGTTCTCCCTTTTTCCGTCGGGGACAACACATGCAACTAGCATTCTCCCTTTATGATATCTGGTGCCGAGTGCGGCACAGAAAGACATCCAAAACTAGGCTGTCCTGCTGCTCACGTCAGTGCCTGATCGGACACTTTGATGCGTGCTGATGCGTGCTTGACACTGGATGGTCTTATAAGACTCTGTAAGACTGAAGTGATCACTCAGCGTCGGAAGTCGCGCTCCACGGATGCCGACGTGAAGACACGGTCGCCGAGGTTCAGCGGCTCCGGGAAAAGAAGCGTGTCCTGGAGCCGGGAGGTGACGATGTGCTAACGGAAGCGCAGTGGAGACTGGGGCCCCGGCTCCCGGGCGTCGACCCCGGAGCTCCAGGAGCCACTCGGCCACACTGGCGGGCAGAAAGCCTCAGCCAAAGACAAAAAGAGCATGCTTGGAGAGAGCGTCACTGCCTCCGTGTAAGCCTGGACGACTTGGGGATCAAGTTGTCTTGCACTTCACCGGAAGCTTCAGAGCAGAGACTTTCAGCTTCGGAGCACTCTCTCGTGGCCGTGTTTACAGAGATGTCAATCACTGCAAAACTTCGACCAGGTGAACCCCTCCCTTAGATTCATGATCTCTTTGTTGAGGCACTACTCGTGGCATCTGCGGGGTGCTCGTCGGTCAAAGCTGACCAGTCATCTGCTACCTCCACAGCAAAATGGCAAAGGGCCAAGTTGCGACTGCATCAAGACCTAGCAGCTTCCCCTCCACTAACAGCAGAAGAGCATGTGCTTCTGGCCCTAGCGCATTAGAGCCTAGGAACCGTCGACAGCGGTTTGTGCTGTTTCGCTTGTAGGGCACTGGTAGGGGATATAATGATCTGAGACACTCCAATCCGGTTCAAATCAAACCCGGGTCCCGGCTTTCTACAAGCCCGAGCACTTCCAGTAGCTCTTCGCAAGCCCTAAAGCCAGATCGCAGGCGGGCCTCCTTGCTAGTCTCCACGGTGTCTTTCCCTGGTTCCGGCAGATCTTCGACTTCAGGCGGAGACGCTGCCTGGATGCTGAACTTGCGAGAACCCTGAAAATGCAAGTCTCGTCCACGGTTTGATCCGCGAAACTGATTCCGGCATCGAGATCATGTTCCTGCTGTTTCGGTATTCAGTACCACTGGCCACAACATCTCCAAGACAATAGTCGGCGCCGCTCCGCTGCTTCTGCTGCTAGATTGAGATCCGAGCTGAACCGTCCCCCCCTGCGCCTTGCTATCATGGGCTTCATCGACATCACCCGAAGCCATGGCGCCATGCGGAATCAGCTGCCGGCGCTAAAAGAAAGCTACAAAGTTGATGTGGTAGGCTGGGAGGCTTCAGGGAGGAAGCTTCGATGGCAAAGAGTGTTCCAGGGTGGGCCCAGTGAGGGTTTCGGGTGTTGGGCCCATTGGGGTTTGGTTGGAGAAGGCTTAAAGTCGGCCGGAGAACTGAAGAGGACTGACGGCTGCGTCAACTGCAAACCCTGATAGATCTGGCCTTCACATCCTTCACGAAGCCTTCGGCTGCAGGCAAGCACCAGTGCCATGAAGTGCGACTACAGAACCATCGGGACCAACTGGAATGCAATGTTGGCCTAAGCTTTCAGCAAACCCTTCATCATTCAGTGCATGGACAGCCCTCTTCAGATCCAGACTCTGCAAGGGACACGACAACCGTTCCGAATCGGAGTTTCTCAATCTTTTGAACAAGCGCAGAAAGAAGCCTGAAGATCGAATCTCATGATGGAATCCAGGGTCGAAGAAGCTACGGAGTTGCGAGCCACGTCTTCATTTTCATGTCTCACGCATCTGCTTGTGCGAACGGGCTTCCAGCGTTTGGTAGCCTTTCATGCGAGACCTGCACAGCAAGTCATGGCACCCGCAGTGCTAGTGCGAGAGCAGGCAACCTGGCGGGCTGTGCCCGAACTTCTGTTCTGCCTTGATTATCCTACAATCAAGCCGGGACAAATGTGGCTGGCAGGCACGGCGAATTCTAGACAGGACCTTGCTCCCAGTACCCTTTGCCCGAACCCTGTTTGCAGGCGCTTTTCTCACCCCGCACGCTTCCGCAAGCAGAGGTAGTAGCGGTCGTTCTCCTGGCCTCTGGAGCCTTTCTCACTCTGCCTTCGCTTTGGCACACCCAGAAACAACCCAAATTCCCAGATGCCGTCAAAGTTGCTCAAACCTTACCAAGCCTAGCACGTGCTCAACAACTTCAACCGTAGCTACAAAGTTGTCCTTGACGGTAAGCTGCAGCTTCTCCTGCTTGTTGACTATAACTGTGGACCCTCTCAACAAACTCCAGCAACAACATCTCCTCCCTGGCAAAACGCACCACCCCGTCGCAGAAACAGCAACCGGAAGAAGCAGGGCCCCCTTCTAACAGTTCTCCGGGGCACTTCAGCCGCTGGAAGTAGGAGCCACCGTCGCTCCCCTTGTACAGTGCTCCGGCCACCTCTTCCAAATGGCGGATTGGGTATGATGGGACGGGTGCGGGCCAGCGATCTCCGGGTGCCGCATCTTCCGAAGCTCCAAATTTGAAGCTCCCTAAAGACCTCACCGGAATCAGACGGCGACAGGTCTGGCTAAGAGACTGGGACAGGGATGGAAGACGACGATTGACGAGGCTAGAGTTTGCATCTTATTCGGTGTTCAGAACACAGGAGTCACTCCAAACGCTACAGAAGGCCAGCCCGAATGTGCGGCCTCGCACGGAGGAGGCTGGCTTCGCAGCTTGAAGCCCTTCTCCTCGGCCACGAGTCCTTCTTTGAAGCCCTGCAGCACAAAGCTTCAATGATTCAACTCACCTGAAGCTCTTACGCCAAGACGCACTCGCCCCGCCTTACCCTTCAGAGCATCCTTGAAGAGCTTCCGCAAGGGCTCCGAAGCGAAGGCCTCCAAGGCTTCTCGCGTCAGAGGCGGGAACGCGGGCCTCAAGGCCTTCTCGGCCTCTGGGTGGAAGGAACTCAGACATCTGCATACTTAAGTTGTGGGGCTTCATTCGGAGTCTTCAAAAACGCAGCACACATAGAAATTGCTTCATGGTCTGAGCCATCGGATTCAAGAGGAACAAACTCACCGATCTCGTTTGGGTTTTATCACGTGAACCTTGGAAGCATGGCCTTCAAAAGCCACTGGCCATAGGCGAGGTTGTCGGTGCAGACTGTCAGCGTGCCCTGCCCAAACTTGGCATTGAGTCATGGCCGAAGCTGCTATTGCGCGAGATCTGAAAATAGCCGTTCCTTCCCCGAAACCGAAAATGAACGGAACACTGCATCTCCAGTCCCTGGCCTCGGGAGCCAGCACGGCTGTGCAGGCATCCCGCAAGAAGGCCAGGGTCAGAAGGTGGGTGGACTCCGTCCCGCTGCCGGCCTGTACCAAAGAGCTTGGGATGAAAGGGAACCTTCTGCTGGCTGATGGTGAGGGAAAGAGAGAGAGAGGAGAGCGCAAAACTGCACTTTGCCATCCTAGCACTCACCATCAACCAACATCAATCACTTTCCCCAGTTACACACACAGAGTCAAGCAGACCTTCTTTTTTGCGAGCAAGCCAGTCCTTGCCCAGTCTTGAGCCAATGCCACTGGGCATCAGAGCATTCGTTAATGCATCATGTTCATTGGGTGCAGTCTAGGGGTGGTTATATGTAACAGAGAGAGAGAGAGAGAGAGCGTGCAAAATTCCATTATACAATCTACACAGTTGTGACAACCAAGACCAGAATATTTCCCCAACCCACACCACAGTGAAGCAAGCATTCCTTTATGCGACCAAGCCAGTCGTGTAGAGTCTTGAGCCAAATGCCATTCGGCATTGTAGCATTCGATAATCTTTAATGCATCATGATCATTCGGTGGGACGTTGGGCTGGCTACATTTAACACAGAGAGAGAGAGAGAGCGAGCGAGCGTGATATTTCGCAGGACAGCCACCTGCAGGTAGCTGCGTATGATGGAGAGAACCGGCCTCTCGAGCCTCGCCGCTCTGCGCTGCCCGTTCGAGGTCGGTCTGGTGCGGGGGCTCCTCAGTGATTCCCCCGTTGCCTTCCCAGACCCTGCCAATGCTCCTCCTCCTCCTACTGCCCCTGCTGCTGCTGCTGCTGC